ATCATAACAACATGTTGCGTATTATGAGTATCAAGTGATATGAGAATCATGAGATCTTTCTCAGTTATCAGCCAAGAAAAACAACATGCAAATCGTTTCAAAATAAATGGAATGACCTGTACAACTGAAGGTAGTACCTTCAGTTGTATGCTCTCGCTTTGGCTTAATTATTACACCATAACAATAACAAAAGAAAAGTAGTATGGGAAGGACAGCAGATAGTATACGACTTTCTTTGACAAGAAAATGAAAGCAGTTGCATTCATCAATAGTGATCGTTCAAAATCATATTCAACTGAACATATCTTACTTCCAGCAACATTTAGCGTTGCGAAAATGCAAACGTTTCACTGGTACATTTTGAGAACTTTTGTCGGCTTTCCGAATTCTCGAAAATATACCATAGTCTTCGAAAAGACACAAATTTACAGCTTTCTCGTTGTGAACTATACTAGATATCATAGAAATCCTTGTGATTTGCTTTTTTCAAAAATCGCTATATAAGCGGTTCTTCTGCAACTTTTTTTCATTTTCAGTGACCATCGAAGAACATTTTTATTAAATACTATTCGAAATTAGACCCGGCGATTGGAGTTTTTTTATTACACGATAAACTTCAAGCGGCAAGCTATCATAGGAAGAACAGCATTGTTATCGTTGTTCTAAAGTAAAAGTTCTCTTTTGAATGCGTGAGTTAAGAAATCAGTAACTTAAAACAATGCACATTCAGTTAGAAAATAGCATCATCTGTTTTTTGTTGTGCATGTTGGGAACAACATCAAGAGCGATATCAACAACAACTATCAACACTACACAGATCACGACGACTACAACAGGTCAGTAGAAAGAGTCAATTTAGAGAATATATTAGACTATGGTGCAATATCCCTTCATAATATAGCTCATTCGATATATTTTAGGTAGATCATCAACCAACTTTAGTAGCAGCACTTCCATGATGAATAGCAGACTGAGTATCAAATATTAGTTCGAACAGACGTTGAATACGGAAGGAAGAAGCAAGTTCAGTTCGTTACTGTGAAAATTGTAATTGCTAAAGTACTCAGAAACTAATAAAATCGTGCACCAGTCTCCAAGAACATCGTCTTGATTCCAATAATGTATATTAGGTAGAAATTAATATTTTCCCAAGAAAACAATGCTGTGGTTTCAAATAGCATTCATAGCAAACTTTTGTACTAAATTAAAATGTGTCAAAGATAGGGTTTATCAATATTAGATAGGAAGAGTTATCATAACTTTCCAATGTCGAATTGAAGAAATTCTAGACTGACATGAAAATACGAGATCAATAACCATCAATACAGATAAAAATATTGAGTTATGTGAAACTCTTTAATGTTCATATCCATCTCGTCTTCATGTTGTAAAGAACACTAATAATTGTCATACTCATTACTAATAATAGTTTTAGTCATAAAAACTGATGAGAAAGATTATTTTGTGATATTCATCAATTTTAATGAAAGCTAGTTTGAACTGTCTCACAAAAAGAATTTTTCCAAGTAGACATTGCGTAGGGTTTCACAATTTCCTATATTCGACACTGAAAGTTTATCATAACTTTTCCAACTTAGTACTGATAAATCCCGTTTTTGACGCACTTTAATTTGATGTCAACTTTAATATTGATCCTGTCCGAAACCATAGCATTATCTCCCTAGAAAAATATTATTTCCTATTTAGTACAGGCAGAATATCACATGGATCAGTAAGATTAGATACATCGTTCTGAAAGGCGTGGTTCAATGTCACTTCAATAAAGTGTAAAGTATAGATTCATAGAATGTACAAGTTTAAATAGAAAGCAGAAATACTTTTATTGCACTAAACCTTGTCACGACTTGACAGAAAAAATGTTTTCCAGTAGAAGATTATTTTTCGGTCTTTTATTCACACCGGTGATAATTAAAGTGTCTATGTTGCGTGTTAGTTTCGAGAAGAGATTCATACGATTAAACATGCTACTCAACGAGGATTGAAACTGTCATAAGAACATCTTTGCAGAGCTGATCTACATCTAAAGTAAACTAGTTTCCTTTGTAATATATTCTATATTCAACGTAAATGATCTTCATTGATGCGTAGGGCGTATCTGCCGCAATCTGACATTCAAACAGCAGTACTCTTCTAGAATAAGTAATGATAGCTTTGAAATTGCTCTCGGCAATTTTAATGGTGACAATCGTCTCTATAGTTTTCTTGACTACATTAATGGAAGCTTTCCATCACCAACAGCTCTCATAACTGGTAAAAATCCATTTGGTCTGGCTGTCAGCGATTTCAATGGAGACAACTATGCAGATATTGCTGTCGGTCAGATTGGCAATGGCAATGTAGGTATTTCACTTGGCCTTGATGATGGTACTTTTCGTTCACAAAATTCTATTGCAATTGACTTCGGTCTATCTTCGGTTTCTGTCGAAGATTTAAACGGTGTTCAATTTCTTGACTTTTTGGTGCCCAACAATGTTGCTAATGCTGTCAGTGTTCTTCTTGATTATGACAATGGTACTTTTGCGTCCCCAAAATCGTTTTCTACAGTCGCAAGTCCATTCACAACCGTTGTAGCTGATTTTAATCACGATAATCACTTTAGACTTCGCTGTCACCAACTATCGCAGTGATAGTGTGAGTATTCATCAAGATTTTGGCAATGATACTTTTTGTATGTTAGCCTTCTATTCCACCATGACTAATCCAATTGCGTTAACTGTAAGTGATCTGAACGGTGATCAGCACAAGGATTTGGTTGCATCGAATTGTGCAAATAGTACGATCAGTGTGCTACTTGGCTATAGCAATGGCACTTTTTGAGCAGCGGTTCACTACTCGACTGGAAGCTGTGTGTATGCAGTTGTAATAGATAACTTGAATGGTGATACTTTCCTAGATGTCGTTGCTGTCAGTACCTTTTCTAATAGTTTTATTATATTTCTTGATGATGGAACTGAATCTTTCTTCGAATGGTGGTCTTTTATTATAGATTACAATCCGACATCATTGACTCTCTAGCATCTGTCTTTCTCTCAAAATAAAGGATTTATGATAAAAATCAGAAGACATATTTCGATGGATGAGATGCAGTAGTTCATTCCTAATTAGCTCAACCTCTCAAATGACTCAAAAGGATTGAATATTATTGTTTGATCACGTTCATTCTGATAATTAATGAATAAGTCAGAATGAGAGTTGAACAACTTTTGATTGGTAATATAAATCATCGTTTCGAGGCGGATAATGACAATCGGATGAAATATGATCGTGTTTCACAAAGAAAAAGTACAACACAGAAACAGAATCATTAAATTCAATTATTAGAATATAAATTGCTAGAGTGAAAACAACAAGAAACAATGCAATTATGATTCGACACAGCGTAAGAATTCTTTAATTCGTCACTCATACCCATGCTAGAATTAAATCCAAGATAGAGCTGTTATGTGCATTATTATAGACAAGACATTCTACTATGTATTCATACAAATAAAACTTTCGATATTAGCTATTTTATAAACTTTTAAACACCGTGATCAGAAATTTTGGTCAGCTTTAAGAATTTCTTTTTTCAATAATTGTTACATTTTTCCTTCAAACTATCTTAAAACATTTTCCAGAATATTGAAGTACTATGCAATATACATCAAAATAATTTGAACCAGACCAAAAATTATAAGTTGTACTTCCAAGAAATCCAAGGAACTCTACGACACTTCGATGTCCTTCACACTTCGAAAATCGAACGTTTCTCCCTTGCCGAAAGACGACAACAAGAAAAAAAATTACACCAATACCTCACCAAAACATTTTGACTATAATAATGATCAATAGTATTGTAACTTGTATAATATAAGAGAGATTGTATGCAGATCTCTTAAAGCTCAATAAAACATTATATTGGCAACATCTGAATCTCTCTTTAATCATAAAATGAAAGACGTTTTTAGCTTGAATAGATATTATTTTCATCATAACTACTCTTTTGGTTGAATATCTTACATTAAAATATTTTTATCTTACCCGAACCTTTTTGAATTATTTTCAGTCAACGAGAAATCAAACTTATTGTTGTGCGATGAGGCTTTCATGACCAACATAGCTACTCTAGAATGCATGTTAAAGGTAACAATTCAGCATGTATTATTAAAGTACGATATATCTTAATTGACAGCATGAAATAATGAAGAATACATAAGATAACATTAATCAATCAATAATTGGTTTGGATTTTTAGAATGAACAAAGATCCATACTCAAATATTTCGTACATCTATATTCTAACTCAAAAAAAGAACATTCACTTGAATGATCAATATATTGTAGTCTGACATTGCGCAATTCTATTCTCACTAGAATTGAAGAATAAAAGAAATAATCTATCATATAGTTTTAGTCTCGATATATCTCATTAAACATTCGAAGAATGTCTTTTTATTAGTAGAAATAACGCTAACTCGAGATTGTGTTCGAAAAGTTTTGTTTAGCAACATATACCATTCGATCTGGATTCACTATGAAACTAATGCCAGTCGAACCATTATAAATGAGTGTCCAACTTAATCCATTATCGAGTGTATCAACATTCGATTCTTCGAGAGCCACTGTGATTGGATCACTGTTAGAAGAATCGTTTGTAGTTGCAAAGAGAAGACTTATGGCAATCGAAGCATAGGTAATGGCAGGTGTAACATAGAAACCAGTGTCTACTCCAGGTGCAGGAGCCACTAAGTTATAGTCACCAGTACCTCCAAAATTGAAGTATTCTGTGGAGGTGGAGTTATCAATGGCTTGATCAGGTTGTTCGATGGTTACCGAGTATCTGCCATTCTTACCTCCCGTAGACGCACCAGCCGTTGTGTTGTATACTTCGACAATAGTGTCTCCTGGTCGAGTGATTGCTGCGATCGATCGTACAGGAGTTGTTGTTGATGTTGAACGAATTTGATCAGTACTACCTAATTGCAATCGACAACAAAGTAAACTATATGAAACTATCTCGAAGTAAAAACAGCGACGGAGCTAGGAAGAGCAAGAGATGCTCATCCTCTCTTGCAAATGTTTGAATCCCTTACAGAAATTTCTGAAAGGCGTATTTTTTTTCGAAAACCTTGCCATGGAGGCTCACAGGTTCGTAGCGAAAAAGTTTGAACTCCCTCTAGCCCAACATTCTGACTCTACTAGTGAGTAAAAATTAGAGTATGGACAATGCTGTCGATTTTCTTTGTCTCTATACAGAAGGAAAAAGCCTACTGATGCTGCCATTTTTCGACACAAGATCATTATCTCTACTATTTATACGATTATTCTGCTTAAATTAAAATATAGACGAGTCAAAACTTCGAGACACCATCAAGCACTATTAGAAAGAATAAGACCACAGAAGAAAATATGGCATAAATGTCATTCATGCACATCAATAGAAGAAAAGGAGAAAAAATGATTATAGCATCATACTATAAAATAATACAAGGAGATAGAATGGTTAAACATACTTATAATTTGACCACAAAAGAAAGATGATAATAGTCTGAAAAGATTCTACCTAGTTTTCATAAATTGTATACTTTGTCTTACATGACATACTAATTCTAAGCATAAATTTTCAACTAATTCTTCAAAATTAAGTATGACTATTTGCTTGTTTAATATTAACATAATTAGATGACAATGCACATTTGATGTAAAAATAAATACAGCGCTTATTAGTCAATTAGTGTGACGTTGACAGTAGAGAAAAGTATGACATTTTCAGTAGCTTTGGTTTCTACAATGCTTCTAATTTTTTTAATATTAACCAGTTAAAACCAAGTAGTTTGGTTCATGACAACTACATTAATGAAAACAATTTGATTCGACAGATATGTTTTGATTCTTTTGGCATCAGTCTTTTTTGTATCTTACTAATTATTATTTAAGCGCACTTTGCCAATAAAATAAGATTCTGTCAAAACTGAACTTATTGGAAGTGACAATGAAACAGAAAACTTTACCTACGAAAGTTGTTTTACTTTTTACAAGTCGTTATTTCCGACTGATTGTTTATTGGCAGTTGTAGAAAATAGAATGTACTGTTAATGTTGGCGTCTAGTTGATAGATACAGGTACCTACATAGTTTATTATTGTAAACAACTGACAAATAACAAAATCGGCATTCTTAATATTGCAATTTAGTGAGAAAATTGACGAATTTCCCGTAGTTGTCAGCATAACACGCAAACACTCGTTGCATGTCGATTCATACATTGTTGTGTTGGATGGAGGCATCATCATCAGTGCAATATTGTGAATGATTCCTACACGTACTGCACTGATAATATTATTTACAATGAAGAAAACAATAATTATTGAAGTACACTTCATTCTACGGCAGGTATGTGATTCCTTGTGCAAAAAAAAATAAGAAAATATGTCATACGTTTGCTGCTACTGTTGATCTCTTATGAACGTAATAGTATGCACTTGACGGCTGAGTATCAAAAGAACGATGTTTGGCAAATATTCGGAAGAAGAATAAAAATATCGACAAAACAATTGTGTTTTCATGTATTGTGAAGAGTTATTAAATTATTCATACAACTTCTATTAGACACATAAAATATATGTAAAGATATGTTTTACATCCATTTGAACGTCGTCATTGCAGAAATTGTTACAAATATCTGTTCACATGTGTTTTAAGATCAAAATGATAAATAGTTTTCATTTTCAATAATTAAAAAAATAATCAGGATTTTGAGTTTTTTTTTCTTCATTGTTCTATATATCAGATGTTTGATTTTTGATGATAAATCGTTCGTATTTATCATAATGAGTTGATCAGTAAACTTTATTTTCTTTTTATAATCGAATCAAAGTTTACAAGTAATTATTTTTCGCAAACATCCATCTGTAAATTATTTTTTGCTCTGATTAACATATCGTATTAGACGTAGATATGTAATAATCATTTCGTTAATGTTGATAAAACAAAATACAAAGCAATGCGTTATCTTATTAGAAATGTTATCTTTCAAATCCAACGAAATTCAAACCTTATAAGATGAATTTGCTATAGTTATTTTTAGATTAGATTCATTTTAATAAATGAAAATTATTCATTAGTCTTTTTTCTGCTCTATTTATCTATTCGTTCTCCTAATAAATAATGCCTAAAAAGCATCTATCTTTAGCAATAAAAATGAATGGAATTTTAATGTAAAAGAAAAAAAGAATGAAGAAATAAATAGAGTATTTACCTTTTTAAAAAGTACTTAGAAATGTTTTCTTCATCCTCTGAAAACAAAGAAAAATAGAAATTACACAAATCAACAATAAAGATCTCTTCTATTAGAAAATAAACGTCTCATATAATCACTAAACTAATAATTAGACATCATTCACAACCATATTGTGTTGTCATTACTATAATTTGTTATTGTATTAATTTAACAACAGTTTTTTCTTCATCATAATTTTTGAGAATGAAACTCTTTTATAATCATTTTCTTTTCTCTCTAAGTGATAGATAGAATACAATAGCAGTTGAACTTAGAATGTATTATTTTGCATAAATTTTCTTTTTATGACATTGAAATGCGATTATGAGGTTTGATGAACAATATTATATATTTGACACAAACATGAAACGATGTATCCCATTGAAAACACGATCACGACACTTCAATCGTAAATGAGAGCCTTTGCAACGTTGATCATAGGTTATGAGCGTTTAGAGAACTGACATATCGAAATGTTTATCAAAGTTTGTGACGCGAAGTGTGGATGTTGGCGTTGATAAAAAGAATAACCACACCCTCTGTATGTATGGATATACGAAATTATTTGTTGTTTTATGTAAAAATGCGTTACAAGAGCAGAAAAATAAAAATCATTTGATGAGTATTGACTTGCATGCTTGCATATAAAACAGAAAATCATCCGATTACTAATTAATGAAACGGAACGATTTGTTCAATTTTGTGCTTAGTTTAATTTTTAATTATACTATATACGAAGTGCATTTTTTTGTTTGTTATTTTGTATATGATTTGAGAGAGCTTGATAAGCTGGTTACGAATATATAACTTTTTATGTCGATCCAATCATTGTTTGATTGAAAAATGGTAAAAAGAAATTTCAACGACTGAATACGTTGCATTTGCAATTGTGAAATTCATGTTCTCATAGAAATTGTTAAGTTTCAATTATGTTATTGTTTCAAATTT